AGAAGAAGAAGAAGAAGAGGCGAAGAAGAATAAGAAGAATAGAAATGGAGAGAAACAATAGACTAATGCTGTTGTGACAAACATGTTATTTAGTTTAAAGTTAATTTCTGCGTCCTATTTCTCTCCGCGGAAGCTCCAGTTCAGACGCGGAGCACTTTGACCGGAAGCAGGTCCTGAAGCAGCTCTGTAAATATTCTCTGGTTTAGTTGCATCAAAGGTAGAGCGGCTACAGTAAATATCTCTGATTTATTAAATCCTCTGTTTGTGTTTCAGACCATGAAGCTGCGGGTCCAGCTGCAGTGTAAGAACCTGCATGAATACCTGCGGGAGCTGAACCCTGACATCCTGGACAGGCTGTTTAACCATCCAGCAACATGTCTGGCTGTTTACAGGTAGGAGGCCTCTGCTGACAGCCTGTCCTCCGCCTCATCTCTGTTTATCCCCTGATTGATGACTGCCTGTTGGTAGTACGGGGTTAAAGGGAAGCCACCGGCCGCCATATTGGTACTCCCTAGTTAGACCTGCCAGAATGTAAACAGTCAGCATCAAACAATAATGATGTTCTCATTTTCAGGGGGACTTGGACTTAAAAAAAAAAATTTAAAAAAGAGAGAGAAATTCATCACTTTGACACAGACTGACTGTTTCATAGCATCAGTACATCTGTTTAACTTTAAATAAAAAAAAAGGCAGATCACATTACATAGGCAAGGCAAGGCAAATTTATTTGTATAGCACAATTCAGTACAAAGACAATGCAAAGAGCTTTACATGATTAAAATAAAGGAAATAAGGAAAATACTCATTATTAAGTCAATGAAGTTTATAAATCACGTAATATAATATATTACACAAATCCATCACGATAAAATTAATGTATTAACGGAGCATAATAACACAGATGTGCCATAAGTGCTAAAATTTATGATGTACATGTAATATACATGTATTGATGACATTGTTATGGTAATTACATTTTACATTTCATTTCAAGATTTCACATCCACACTGAATTAAAAGTACGTCTCTGTTAATGCTGTATTTTCCTATTTGCAGATGTTGCAAGCATGATGCCATATACTTTTGTGCATTAGTCTTTAAAAATGTTTAAGTTGCTTTTTTCCGTCAATATAACATGCAATATATTTCAACACTTTTTCAACTGAGAAACAGAAACAAACACTACAAAAACTACAGCATCATCCACTGAATAAAGAATTACTACACTAACATTTCACAGTGAATGACTTTCTATTTCCTCTACTTTCTATTTTAGACCCAATGTCAGTGTCTAACTCAGTCCATGTCTTCTAGTCAGTCCCAGATAGCCAGACTAATGTTAGTCTACAGACTATACTATAGGATCCATCGGCTATAGATGGATTTATTGCTTAGTTCATCTATTGACTATGAAATGACCTGTGGAACGTCTTCCTGCAGCCGGAAAACTGCTTGTTTTTGCAGTCAAATGCTGCACATGTAGGGAGTTTGACTGCGTCTCCATGGGAGCAGTTAGAACCAATATGGCGGCTGGTGGCTTCAGTTTTTTCGGGGAATCAGCAATCCAGTGAATAAACAGAGTTATAAACTATTATAACACCGACGGTCGGTTCTGTTTGTTTTTCCTAACAGGGAACTTCCCTCCCTGGCTAAGAATTATGTGATGCGGATGCTGTTCCTGGATCAGCCTCTTCCCCAGGCTGCTGTGGCATTATGGGTAAAAAAAGACAGTCAAAAGTGAGTCCTCCACCTCTGTTTTTATTTGTTAGAGGTTAATATACTTTCAATGATACTGTTTTCCATTATCATTATATGTTAAAGATGGTCTCAAAAAGACAGTATTATTGTTTATGGCAAAACTTTAAGGATAATTTACCTTCCAGCTAAATTTCTCAAAACAACAGGCCATCATATAGGGGAAAACACTTTGATAGTATAAACATGAAACTTTGAAACTGGACTTTGTTTTCCAAGTTTGAGGACGTTTCGCTTCCCATCCAGGAAGCTTTTTCAATTCAAAATGTCAGGAGTAACATTGAGTTCCAGGCTTATAGAGTGACAGAAACAAAAGCCTTGTTATGGTTTAGAAAACACGCAAAAAACAGAAC